CCTGTGGCTCCTCACTGCTCCATCACCAGCCCGCCAATCCGTGTCCCAAACAGCATCCCCTGCCCAGGTATTCACAGTGTGGGTCACCAACCCCCTTTGAGCCCTATTCAGGAAATGCTGCCTTTTGCCAGCCGGCTGGTTCTGAAGGGAGACAGATCCCCACCGCCAGGCTCCAAGAGAACCCTTCCTTCCTTGCTTCTCGATTAGAGGGAGGAATAAAGAACATTTGCTGCTGCACACAGAAGGAATGGATGCCCTTCCAAGGCTAAATGCAAGCACGGGAACTCAACGTGAGTCCACAATAAGAAAGAGACCTCACCAACCTGGGTATCCACTGTGGGCTCGGGAAAAGAGCCCCAAAGGGTGTTCCCTGACTCAGGAGTCTTCTGCATTGTGCATTCACAACACTGCCTAGACGGACTCAGCTCCTGTGCCAAACCGGTTAAGGAGAGGACGACCGCTTTTCTCAGTCCCTACGATTCAACCCTTGGCCCCTCTCTCTCACCCTGCAAGAGGACAGGACTGTTTGAGACTAAGGGAAGGTGCAGTGGCCCAGTCTGGAAAGGTGCTGAGCGTCTGGGACTTGGTCCTTCCAAAGAATTCTTGCTCGGCTTCGTGACTTCATTTCTCACCTGCGAGAAATGGACGCGTCACATCCCGAGCAGCCCCACGTCATGTCGTTTGTCTCCAATATCAACTCAGTGCTGGGGGAGCGGGTTGCAGAAACCAGCACTGTTCGCCGAAGCAGGAAAGACTCCCTTGCTGCTTGCGACGGATTCCTCGGACCAATGGACAGCCGGCGAAGAGAGAGCCGGTGGCTACCCCAGATCCTGCCGCTCGCGCACGTCTGCTGCCCTCTAAAAGGGAACCCCGTCTTCTCTTTTTACATAGGACCGCAATCCCGATCGACTCTGACTTGGATTGTTGCCGTTAAAGATAACAAGAATGGGAGGGTCTGACTTTCGCCCATCCGAGGTTACTCGAGGTGGAAAGAACTGGTCCACAACAAAGTATGCATTTTTTTCCCACGGTTTCCGTAGCCCACCGGCCAGTCAACACGACTAGCTCTGTATTTCCTGCACCTGCCCCAGACCCCCAGTGCTGGCTTGTCAAAGTCACCAAAAATGCAAGAGAGGGTTTGTGTGGCCACTACTAAGAGTTCAACGAAGTTCTCTGTAAAGAGAACTACCAGTCTGCCTTATGGACACCCCCCTCCCCAATACACACAGAACCCCCCCTTCCCCGCCTGCTGTTCTTCCTCCTCCTAACCTCTCCAAGGGACACGCTTCCTGCTGGAAGGCAGCTGGTTTCTCAATGCGGATATATTCACCTGATTTAGGCAACAGAATGTTCTCTCTTTTAATACACTTCTGTTCTTCCTATCACCTCTCTTGCTTGGACGTAGGCGAGGCATGGTGGATAACACCAGAAATCCATGCATAAAACCCTCACGAATTGGGACGGGGAAGTTTGGTTGCAGGAGTAGATGGTTGAAGCCCCTCAAGAAAGTCTGAGGTTTGGTCCTAAGCTCCGATTCCCTTGGTTTTTGGCAGAGGGAGATTGGGAAATATCTTATGATCAATCAATAAGGGACGCCTTGTGAATAGGATTCTCAACCTGGGAATTCCCCTCCACCTCCAGTAAGGGGAGAGGGATATGTGTACGTATAGCCCTTTCAGAGAAGCAGCAGTTCCGTGGGACATACAGGGGGCGACGGATGTGAACACACTACAATCAGAGAATCCCCAACAGCCAAGGAGGACAACTTACAAAGGGAAAACACATTGGCCTCTAACGCCTCCCACGTAAAGGCAGTTAGCGCCAAGGACAGAACTAAACACGGGGCTCTCCCCAAGCAACCCCCCCCCCTCTTGCTTCAAACAAACTCATTCCACGAGACAAGAAATGCCGTGAAACCTTTGTCAGGGCCCTCGGCTGAAGTCGCAGAGGCCGGGAGAAGCGCGCCAAGCTAAGCAGGGGAGAAGAACACGACCCTATCAAAGGATGCAATGAAATGAACACTGGTTCACAGTTAACACGGAGCCGCTCCCGCAGAACCCGGGAGCCACGGCGGAGAAGGAGCCGAGAGCCAGAGACTAACCCCGTCGCCCTCGGCACGCCGTCCCGAAACGCCAAAGTGCACGTTTCTTAACGTCCAGCTCGAGGTGGGGTTTCACTCCCTCTGAGTCTTCCCTACCGGAATGAAAATGGAAAGAGACGGGCGGGATGGACGGACAGACAGACAGGCAGGAAAATACCAAGAGAGGTGTGTGGGGGCGGGGCCCAGGATGGCACGGGCTGTGCGTCGCCCCAGTGCTGGTCGGGCACCACCCTGCAACATCCGACCCCTGCCCCAGGGACGCTCCATTTCAACGAAGTGCTGGAGGTCAATCGGCACCGCTCCCTCTCCTCGGTACATGCGGCGTTGTTGTTTTTCCTCTCTTTTAAAAATCTGTATGTGTATATATATATATATATATACACATACATATTCTATGTATACATATTGCACACAGTCCTCTGGCCGCTTGCGTTCCCCGCCTGCTAGTGGAACCGTTTCCGCTTCTCGTCTGGCTCCGACCGGTAGTCACGAGACCCGATGCCGTTCTGAAGGTTTATTAGCGAGTCTTTCATCTGCAAGGCAAATCGGGGGGAGGGGGGGGGAGGCAATGACTGACAAGGAAATACAGAAACAAACCGGGTCGCAGCCGATGCTCCCTCTAAGCTGTGGAGTCCTGTGAGCAATAATTCTACTTGGTGAGCTGCTGGCATTACAGCTGTGAGCGAGCGATTTGGCAGCTGCACAGATTAGCGGGCTCCCCATCTTTCCTGAGCGAAGACAAAAAGGTGTGAGCCGGAGGGCAAAAAACGGTGAACTAGTTCACACTAACTCAGCTTAGAGGGAACGCTGGTCACAGCTGGAACTCTGTGCGGCTTCTGCTTGCCGAAAGCGACGCCCGCTTGCTTAAGACTCCCCTGTTCAACTCAGGCCTCCGTAAGCCAAGGGAGGCGTGAATGGGTGCGCCCCCTCCCTCAAAGAGACTGCAACTGCATCTGCAGTCACAGGAGACCCCCGAGTATCCTGAAACCCCGCCCCCACAAAGCAGTGTGGCAAATTGGGGCATCGGGCCACGGGCATTTGACTGCGGGAGTGGCAGCTTCATCCTTGCACAGCAGTGCACAGAGAAAGGTGTGGGTGACCAGTCATACGAGATGGGCAATCAGAAAGCAAGCTGCCATGGAGGAACTCCCAAAAGGACATGGCACGCTGGCAAGGGGGGATTAGGCAGTTGGAAATGCCCAAGTTATAACCCAGAAACTCAAAGTCATCAGTTTTCATTAAAATACCCCCTCAAAAAAAAAACAAGAAGAGGAGGAGATTGGATTTATACCCCACCCTTCACCACCCGAAGAGCGACTTACGACCTCCTTTCCCTTCCCCTTCCCTACAACAGATGCCCTGTGAAGTAGGTGGGGCTGAGAGAGCTCTTCCGTGGACTGCTTGTGAGAGAACAGCTCTGAGAGAACTTGTGAGTGACCCAAGGTCACACCAGCAGCTGCACGTGGAGGCGTGGGGAATCAAGCCTGGCTCTCCCAGATTAGAGTCCGTGCTCCTAACCACTACACCAAACATTCTAGCCCTCCTGAACAGTATGAAAATCTCTGCTCGATACCCAGCTGCCAACTAAGGTGAGGAAAAATATGCCACTGGGTCATGAAGTGGAGTGTTCTGGGCAAGAGATGAGCAGAGATGGGTTGACATTCATGGAATCATAGAGTTGGAAGGGACCTCCAGGGTCATCTAGTCCAACCCCCTGCACAATGCAGGAAATACACAAATACCTCCCCCTCCATACCCGCAGTGACCCCTGTTCTACGCTCAGAAGATGACAAAAAACCTCCAGGATGCCTGGCCAATCCGGCCTGGAGAACAATTGCCTCCTCACCCCAAAGTGGCCATCAGCATTTCCACACAGCGACCCCAGTTTTCGGGGAGGGGGGGCGCCTCCTATCTGTATACAGAATGCAGCTGATCCTGCATAGCTCCCAAGCTCTGACCGGCCCAGGGCAAGTTGGCTGCTAGCCAACTAAGCCTCAGCCTAAAGCCACCTTTTGCCATCCTCATAACTCTGAAGTGCCTTTTGGATTTAGAATCACAGAGTTGGAAGGGGCCTCCAGGGTCATCTAGTCCAACCCACGGCACAAGGCAGGACTTTCACAAATACCTCTCCTCCCCAACACCCCAGTGACCCCTGCTCTATGAAGAGTGGGGAGCCTCCAGGGTTCCCCGGCCAAACTGGCCTGGAGAAAAATTGCTTCCTGATCCCACAGTGGCGATCAGCATTTCCCTGGGCGTGTAAGGAAGGGCCACGAGAACTAAGCGCTGAGGCAACCCTTCGAACATAAGAACATAAGAGACGCCAGTGTTGGATCAGGCCAAAGGCCCATCCAGTCCAACACTCTGTGTCACACAGTGGCCAGAAATACCAGGGCCATCAGGAGGTCCACCAGTGGGGCCAGGACATTAGAAGCCCTCCCACTGTTGGCCCCCCCCCCAGCACCAAGAAGACAGAGCATCATTTGCCCCAGAGCCCCTATCTGTACCTTGTGGCTAATAGCCACTGATGGACCTCTGGCTCCATCTTTCTTGTGACAGCCTTCCTGCCCTCCCTTCTCATGATCTGCCTAAATCCACTGGATTCCCAGTGTGGCTGACTGAAGTTCTCTCCCCTGCATGACGAACAGGGATCATACTATCGCAGGACATACTACTGCAGCCCGCCCTGGCAGTTGTAGCCACTCTGTGTGACTTCGGCGGCTCATGTGCTAGGAACACAAGTCCTGCCCTTACGGTGGCTGTAGGTGTCGGCTTCTTTCTCACCTGATCTAGCAGCATCACAGATGACTTGATTATCTCCCGCCACTTCTGGAGCTCCGTGTCGTGATACCTCTGCTGGGACTCTAGTAACTGGGCCCATTCCGTCTGCGACTGGGGTAACCTGCCGAGACAGAGGAGCAAAGATGAGCTCTGGGGAAAACGGCGAGTGACTCGGGATCCCTTAAAACAGGGGGCCCCCCCTTCCCTTTTGAGCCTGTGAGCCCCTTTGGAATCCTGACACGGGGTGGCGGGTCAGCCGCAAACGTCTCCCATGGGAGGGGGAGCTCACCACAAAACGGCCGTGTGACAGAAGAGGCCCGCTCTGACTTACAGACCCTGTTCTGCCAGCCCCCTCCTTGGCTTGCACCAATCCCTGGAGGGGGGGGCTGGACAGACCAAGCAAAAAGGGGTGGAGAGTGATGTAAAATGGGTGGAATCAGAGATCTAATAAAAGTCCTTGCTCCCTGGGGCGTCGGGAGTCTCTCCCTCCTGGCAGGACGTCCCCCAGCAGGACGGTGGTGGCAGCACAGCCTAGTGGAGGGAAGTGGGATAGCACTCTCCAGGAACTGGCAGGAGCCAAGGAGGGCGGTGGGCAGAACAGGGCCTGTCAGTCGAAGGAGTCCTGTTCCGTCACAGGCTGTCACAAGAAACAGAGCTACATTCACAGCAGTATCTCGAGTGCTGGGGAGAAGAGAGATAATTTAATAAGCGTGAGAAAGAGGAGTGAGAATAAAACCAACACTGCAGTGATAGCTGCCACTGAAACAACATTATTTTAATCTGCCCAGCCAATCAGATCTTCAGTGGCCAATTAGAAGTCATAAGAACATAAGAACATCGGAGAAGCCAGTGTTGGATCAGGCCAATGGCCCATCCAGTCCAACACTCTGTCACACAATGGACAAAAATACCAGGTGCCCGTCAGGAGGTCCAGCAGTGGGGCCAGGACACTAGAAGCCCTCCCACTGGTGCCCCCCCCAAAGCACCAAGAATACAGAGCATCCCTTGCCCCAGACTGAGAGTCCCTATCTATACCTTGTGGCTCATAGCCACTGATGGACCTCTGCTCCATATGTCTATCCAATTCCCTCTTGAAGCCGTCCATGCTTGTAGCCGCCACCACCTCCTGTGGCAGTGAGATCCTGCTAGGGCTCCCCCCAGCCCCACCCGCTTTGTAAGAACACTTGGTGGGCACCAGGAGAGGCGTCAGAGGGTGCCACGGTACCCCCATAGACACTATGTCGGGGACCCCTGCCTTTCACTATAGGGAGGAAAACAAAACACAGCGGCCGTAATTCTATACCATAAAGAATGGAAACTAGCAGACCTTAACACCGGGGTGGCCTACATGGAGGTCACATGTAACTGGGAAAACACACATTTGCTGTAACATACAAAGCACAGCATGGCTGGCAACGAAGGCTGACCAGTCAGATGTTCCTCACACATGTTATGCACTCCTGCTGGAGAAGTCATCTGTGTGTAGGAAGAGTATAACAAGCCAAGTGGCCTCAACAAGACGATCAAGTCCCCAGCTTTTCACCAGTCCAAACTAAATATCCACCGGGAGTTCCGTGTTTGGAGCGCCCAGTGATTGAGGCATCACTTAATTTTCAGGGGCCCAAGGGTCTTACTTTTGACCGGGACCACTGTACGTGTGTGTGTGGGGGGGAGAAGTCTACCCCTCCCCGTGCCATTTTCCTGACCCGAAATGACCCCAAGGAGCCACCGTTCAACCCACTATGGCAATCTGGGCCACTGTGTTGTTGTTTTTTTTAAAGGGAAGGGGGTCTCTTGTTCCCAGACGGGACTTCCAGTAACGAAACAATGCCAGGCACAGCGGCGCAAGTGTGCCAGGAAAAGGCGCACTGAGAAGGAAGAGGCGCTTCGTTCTGTTTTCACGTCTGGGCACCTCAAGTGGTAGCGGGGCAAACGGTTTCTATTTAGACAGCAGCGAGGTGGGGAAAGGCAACCGGCCAAACCCTGTTTTGTAAGTGCACTCTCTCTCTCTCTCTCTCTGTCTGTCTGTCTCTCTCTCTCTCTCACACACACACACACATAAAAGTGTGCACAGCCCATATCTAGCCAGCAGTCAGAGGGGGAGCGCTCCGGCTCCCCAGGTGTTGTCACCTTGTTGTGGCAAAATTTTTATCAATGGCTTTTATCTGCAATGATATATTTTGGGTTTTTTTGTTTTTTTTAAAGTAAATTTTATTATCATTATTGTGTAGTTACATATTGTTACACTTTAAAATAGCAGCAGCGATGTCAAAATACCTGTGACAACAAAAAGAAAAGGGGCACTGGAACCATATCATTTACAGTACTATCATTTACATATCATTTACAGTACTATTATAGTGTATAAACAATTTTGATAGGCTGACAACCATTAGCTTCTGTGAAAAAACAATCTATTTAGCGAAATCCTTTTGTAGCCTCAACAAAATAGGAGGAGCTTATATTTGGCAGCTTTAATAGCCTCCCATTCAAAACATTCTAAATCTATCTTTTCTACTAAAGGGAGCCAAATACTTAACGGATTGTAAAAAAGTTGTTCACTATAAATAGAATCCTTATAAACTGAAAAAACGTCTAACATAAACAAATCCCAGATTTTGTGAACCCATTGTCTGTTGCACTTTGTATTTCTGGCTGCTGGGTTATTTTCTGTATTTTTGGGTTATACTCTTCTGTACCCTAACAACTATCGAACTTGTTTGCTTCTGACCCATTGGTCAGTGAGCGTTAAGTACAGAATAAAGGAATAGAGGTTACCTTTCCTGTAACCGCAGGCCCTGCCACGCCGTGAGGGTTTGGGTGGTGTATTCCAACATCCAGAGTTTGTAGAACAGCATCATATTGAGGATTACCAAAAGCACCAGACTGGGGAGGCAAAAGAAAAAGGATACTTCTTTAAGACAGGCAGCCGGGGCTGTGGTCCTTACTCCCCCTGGGAAGTCTCTTAGAGTCCTTTTTTAATGTGCCAAAGTGAACTCAAGTGTCCTAGGTCCTTGGGCATGCTGGGCCATGCCCAAATGTGAATGGCTCAGTATGTACCTTCAAGATTCAACATGCCCTGGTTGCGCAACAAAGAAGGTGCATGAACATCAGCAGAGAAAGTTCTGAGTAGTCATTTATGCGAAGAAACCTTCAGGTTATTTGGCTCATACTGCCTGAGTGAAAGGCACCGAGGGCTTTCCCACACTTTCATATTTCTCACTTGTCACTTCCTATTTCTTTGGGAGGTTTCCCCCCCTGCTCAGCATGCCTTGCTCCCTCTAGTGGTCAGTTTGATATCACATCGGTTTACGTCCAGCGTAATTCCCTTTAAGCAGCATGTTTTTATGCCAGACATAATCCGATGCGATACTGAACTGACCACTAGAGGCAGCACACACATGTAGAACAGAAAACTGCCCCCTCCCCTGAACAAACAGGAACATACAAGCAAGGAAACGGAGAATGCGGGAAAGCCCTTCGTCTCAGGAAGAGCAAGAGGGTAAAATAAGCCCATCTTTTGGGAAGCAGTAAGTCCACAACCCAAACGTGTTTGTGCCAAAAATGAACAATGGGAAGGTGGCAGGGAGGAATGGTCCTGGCCTTCAGCTGAATGCTCGAGAGGGAACTATGCGCCCTGCCTACCCTCATCGGAGCCCAACAGCAAAGGGGGCAGAAAACGCTTTGTTGGAGGAGCAGAGAGAAACGACGAGGTAGAAAGGACAAGCTCATTCTACAAAACAACAGACAAGGATGTGGCCCAGAAGAATTTGAGCGGCGTTCAGACAGACGGTGTTAAAAGAACAAGCCCACCAATTAGAATGGAGACACAGAGAGAGAGAGAGAGAGATGGAAAGAGAAGGATGGGCGAAAAGGAAGGTAATAAAAGGAGACAGTACCTGAAACAAATCCTAATGTGAGCAGGGAAGAGAAAAGATGGAGGAGGAGAAGGTTAGAAGCACACCAGAGCTGAGAAGAGGAGAAACTGCCAGGGAAGGTCTTCTAAAGGACACAGAACACAGAGATCGGGGAGGGGGGGAGAGCATGCAGAGAGAAAGAGAATACCCTGAGCACGGGTGCCCTTCGCCAGAAGGTGACCTAGCACTCTAGTGGAAGGGGGAGGGGGCTAGGGATGGGCACGTCACAAAACGGAGTTAATGCAGAGTCCAGAGAATAGTGGCTTTCAGAGAGAGTCCATTTCTAGTCCTCAGGATCCCTGACACCTGTACAGAGTCTCTATAAACATCTGGAAACAAGGAAGGGGCGTGGAGAGCGTTTCGGCCATAGGAGAAGAAGAAGAGATTGGATTTACACCCCGCCCTTCACTACCCAAAGGTGTCTCAGAGCGGCTTACAAACTCCTTTCCCTTCCCCTCCCCACAACAGACACCCTGTGAGGCAGGTGGGGCTGAGAGAGCTCTTGACAGAAACTGCTCTTTTTTTCAAGAACAGCTCTTGTCAGAACTACGGCTTGCCCAAGGTCATCCAGCCAGGTGCAAGTGGAGGAGTGGGGAATCAAACCCGGTTCTCCCAGGTTAGAGTCTGCGCACTTAACCACTATACCAAACTACACCAAGGTACCTTCCCCGAGTGCAGCTTCCGGGCCCACAGCCAGATGTGGCTGCCATGCCACCCGCTGTGATCCACGATCCTTATTTCCACGGCTTCTCTCAGCCCAGTCTCCAACCACCCAGCCACCAAACCTGGCCACATGCATGCAAATCAGAAACAGAAGACTCCACATTAAGCAATCTAAGCCAGGTATGCAAATCAAGGAGATAGAACGAATGTGCACAGCTTATGCAATGTCTGGATTTTTCCCCCCCTGGTCCTTGGGTGGGGGAAGGCCACGTGGGCGTACAGACTCTGAGATGGATCCAGGTGGGCGGCCGTGTTGGTCCAAACCAGCAGAACAAATTTTGAGTCCAGGGGCACCTTTAAGACCAACAAAGGTTTATTCAAGGTACGAGCTTTCGTATGCATGCACACTTCTTCAGGTACATTGTAGTGGAAGCTAGCGGTTCAAATATATCAAATATTGCCCTATATATTTGAACTGTCAGCTTCCATTTCAGTGTATCTGAAGAAGCGTGCGTGCATATGAAAGCTCATATCTTGAATAAACCTTTGTTGGTTTAAAGGTGCTGTGGTCCTTCCAGTGGAAGCACAGAGAGCGGACGGCGTGGACGGAGCGCTGTTTCCCAGAGAACGTGCCGTCACGAGACACCACTCCAGCCACACAGCTGACCTCACGCAGGAGGCATGAAAGATCAGGCCTTAACATCATGCGCTGAAAAATCTGCTGACCACCTAGCCATTTAAGATCCAGCATGAAGAAGAGTTCTGGTGAGTTCAAAAGCTTGCAAAATATTTTGTATCCGTTTGGTCCGATATCTTGCTCAGAGGTGGCCACAGGGACGGGCAAACCAGGGCAGATTCTCCAAAGTTCATACCCTGGAGCTCTGGTTGGTCTCTAAGGTGCCAGTGGACTCAGATTTAGCTGTTCTACTGCAGTCCTTGGGAGCTGCGGTGGCTCAAGTGGTTAAGACGCTGAACTGCAGGCTGTGGAAGGTCAGTAGTTCAGCAGTTCGAGACCCGGGTGCCGCATGACAGAGTGAGCTCCCGTCTCTAGTTCCAGCTCCTGCCAACCTAGCAGTTCGAAAGCAAGAAATTGCAAGTGGATAAATAGGTACCACTTCGGTGGGAAGGTAACAGCGTTCCGTGCGCCTTGGTGATTAGTCATGCCGGCCACATGACCACGGAAACATCTTCGGACAGCGCTGGCTCTTCGGCTTTGAAACAGAGATGAGCACCGCAACCCTAGAGTCGGACTCGACTGGCTTTCGAGGAAGGGAGACCTTTACCTTTACTGCAGTCCTTTGAATCTAGACCATGAGAGAACGAAGGACTAAGCTGAACCTACACCTCCCCCCCACGCATAATAGCAAGATCAAATCAGAGCTGCACCAGCTAGCTGATGGAGTGGGCTTGGCACGGGGAGGGGGACATACATTCAGAGGGGGAAAGCCTTCACTCATCCTCCCCGCCCCCCGAACACCCCGATAAATGTCTGTATCTAAAGCAAGCAGAGTCCAAAAGAATCTCCTGCCCGACTGTCCAAGCCCTCCACAGTTCCAATAAGCACCAAACGGGGTTGATAAAACACCCAAGTGGAACCCTAAAAGGAATTAAGCACCGGCAGGGATCCAACACAGATTCCTGGAATTAAAAAGGAAAGCTGGACTATTCAAAATGGCTACGAGGGACGGAAGAATTCAGGCTGGTTTTCTTTCATCCACGCCGGTTAAATAAATGCTCTGCTTTCCCTCCGGATCAGAGGAGGCCAAAAGTGAAGATTCCCGCCCTTGTGCGGTAGAAATGGCTCCGACGGAGCGAATCATAGAATGTTAGAGTTGGAAGGGACCTTGCAGGTCATCTAGTCCAGGGGTCATTTCCTGCAGGAGCGCACAGGAGTGGAGCTCCGGCAGTAAAGAGCCCAGGGGGCGGGCACATGCAACAAGCCCCGCTCCCTGCTCCCAGCAGCCCTCAGTCAGAGCAAGAAGCAGCCACGTAAGTTGCAGAGCCCCCCGCCCCAAAACAGTCCAGTGGCACCTTTAAGACCAAGGTTTATTCAGGTACAAGCTCTCCCTCCTCTGCGAGGGCAGATCTGCATGTTCCCCCCCCCCCCATAGCTAGGAATCCAAAACAGTCCAGTGGAGCCTGAGTGGTGGGTGTTGCCTTCTGAGACACTTCCGGTGATGTCAGGGGGTGTGGCACATGCAAATAAACTATGCTAATGAGCTCCTGCTCCTCTTTTCCTACGAAATGACCCCTGATCTAGTCAAACCCCCCTTGCACTCTGCAGGAGCATAACCAGCTAAGTAAGCAACACAACTGTTAGTGTGCCATGAATTGCAATTTTTTCCCTTCAACAATAAGCCTCGCCAAAAATCTGAAATCGCTCCACTGTTGGCCTGCTCCCCCCCCCCAGCTTGTTCTCCGTCTCCTGCGCTCTAGACAGGGGATCGATTTCATCATTCTTCTATGAGACTCTCCACTCTTGCTGCCAACCCCCGTGTTATACCATTTCTCTCCCTGTCTGGATCGACAGCTGTTCCCTGTCTGACATCTACGGGAGCCAAACCGCCCCGAGGATTCTCCGGAATGCTCACAGTCGAGGCAGAAGGGAATGGACCAGACTCAGAATGGAGGGAACGCGTGAGTCGGATGCTACAAAAACCAGAGATGGATTCCAGACATCGCGCATGTTGTGTCAAGTGCCATTCGTTCGCTACTGACTACCGCACAGGCTACCCTGTGAATCGACATTCTCCAAAAATGTCCTACCACTAACAGCCATGCTCAGGTCATGCAAACTGAGGGTGGTGTAGGGATGCCAGCCTCCAGGGGGGACCTGGGGATGCCCTGGAGTGACAGCCAATGTTCCCTCTAAGCTGTGGGGTCTTGTGAGCAAAAATTCTACTTTGGGAGTTACTGGCATTAAAGTTGTGAGCGAGCGATTTGGCGATGGCATAAATTAGCTTGTTCTAGAACCATCCTTCCTGAGCTAAGACAAAAATGTGCAAGCTGGAGGCTAAGAAACTGTGAGCCAGCTCACACTGACTCAGCTTAGAGGGAACACTGGACTGACAGCTCATCTCCAGACTACAGAGATCAGCTCCCCCTGGAGAAAATGGCAGCTTTGGAGGGTGGGCTCTGCGGCATTGTACCCCACAGAGGTCCCAGTCCTCCCCAGGCTCCATCCCCAAATCTCCAGGAGTTTCCCAGCCCGGATCTGGCAACCCTACCCCCCCCCAACCCCTGCTGGTGCCCAGGAGAACTTGGCAACCCTCGTGGCTTCCATGACTGAGTCATTCCATCGCATGTCGGGTCTCCCTCCCAGTGTTCCCTCTAAGCTGAGTTAGTGTGAGCCAGCTCACAGTTTTTTAGCCTCCGGCTCACCCATTTTTGTCTCCGCTCGGGAAGCAGGGCTCCGGAGCAAACTAATGTATGCAGCAGCCAAACTGCTCGCTCACCAGTTTAATGCCAGAAGCTCACAAAGCGGGATTTTTGCTCACAAGACTCCACAGCTTAGAGGGAACATTGCTCCCTCCCTCTTTTCCTGCTGCCTTCAACTTGTCCCAGCACCGCTGTCTTTCTCAGTGAGTCTTGTCTTCTCAATTCCAAACACACGAAGGGAGAACTCTTTTCACGAGACGGGGGAACAATCATTTACGATCTCTTGCAAAACCCCTTTCAGCTTCAGAGAGAGAAACCAGACTGGGGAATGATATGGAGAGGGACACAAAGGTGGAGGGGGGGGGGAGGAAGGCAAAAGAGAAAAGAGACAACAACCCCTCCCCGGGGCAGAAGGGGCGAAGGAATCACTTACACACAACTGATAATGAGCAGCAACTTGGAGACACTCTGTAAGTGGAAGCCGCTGGGACTTTCCTCGGGGATGTGCCGTGTTTGTGTGGAACCTGGAAGGCAGCAGCGGAGGAGAAGAGATTGGATTTATACCCCACCCTTCATTCGGCGTCTCAGAACGGCTTTCAGTCTCCTTTCCCTCCCCTTCCCTGCAACAGACGATCTATGAGGGAGGCGGGGCTGAGAGAGCTCTTTCGAGGACTGCTCCTGATAGAACAGCTCCGAGAGAACTTGTGACTGACCCAAGGTCACACCAGCAGCTGCATGTGGAGGGGGGGGGGATCAAACCCAGTTCTCCCAGATTGGAGTCCCCGCTCCTAACCACGACACCAAACTGGAGAATCCGGGGCTTGAACCGGGGAGCCTCCTGCCCGTCATGCAGACGATCTTCCTGGGAATGGTTTTGGAAGAGGTTGTCTTGAGCAGACCTGATGGCCTGCGGAACTGGACAGGCAAAGGCTCACAGTGCCAGTTCTCCGTTACAGAATCACTGTGTGCCACCCCAAACCAGTGTGTGTGCACTTTTGTGTATTTGGGGTAAGTGCAATAAAAAGACACAGCTGCCTTTTAAGTCTGTAATGAACCTTTGAAGCGGCTTTCTATGGAGTGGGGAGTGTCGGGGAGTGGAGAATCAAACCTGGTGCTCCCAGATTAGAGTCCGCACTCCTAACCACTACACCAAACTGGCACGCATCACACACCACAGGAAGTTCTGGCAAGACGTAGATTCCCTTCTCTGATGGATGCCCCTGACCTAGTTCTGCTTTTTTTTTCCCCAGGAGGAGGATCATTCTAGGCTCCTCTTTCTGACCTGCAGCCCCAGATTAACTTTCTGGAACTCTCCCCGCCCCCTTGCAAAGAGGATTTGGTATGAAAACTGAGGCCTGGGAAGCGCCATGCTGATGTTACAGTAGTATCTTGAACAGGGGTCATTTCCTGCAGGAGAGCACAGGAGCGGAGCTCCGGCAGTAAAGAGCCCAGGGGGCAGGCACATGCAACAAGCCCCGCCCCCTGCTCCCAGCAGCCCCGGACCACGAGGAGCAAGAAGCAGCCCTCCTTCTCTCCTTCTTTCCCTTTCCCTCCTTCTTTCCTCCCCCTCTTTCTTTCTCTCTTTC